CAGAGTTACCTTGGCGGCGCAGAAAACCAAAGGCTCCGACAGAGAAACCAAAGCCCCGACTGACACCTGTTCCTGAAGACGCACCTGAGTACAACGTGCCAGTTCCTGAGGTAGTAAAGGATGAACGCGTAAAGAGGACGAAGAGGAACACATTAGCGTGTACCGTGGCTTAGAGGAAAGAAGCCCAAGAAACCTGACAGCAAACCGAAGAGATTCAATTGAAACCTGGTGCTCGCAGACCAAAAGAGAAGAAGAAAAGCGAAGTCGTTCTGAAAACCTGTAAAACGCCTTCCCAAAGATGAAGTGCCCAAGAAAAGTGATATGAAGCCCTTCAAAAGAGAAAGACGATAAGAGAGGTAAGTTGAGACAAACAGACTTGCAAATACACCAAGATTCAGAAAGAAAATATATCAAAACTAAAAACCAAAAGCGAAAAACCTAAAGATGTTAAAGGACCAAAAATTTGAAAATGAGCAAGCCCACAAAAGAAGACGTTGGTAGTGAATTGAGAGTGCGTTTGAAACCTGTAATATCTGAAACAGTAGATAAGCTGAAGAAAAAACCAGAAACTGTTAACTAAAACCAATAGAAAAAGATAAACCGAAGAGAAGAAATCAAAAAAAGGTTCTTAAACATTAGACAGAATAGATACAAAAGCAGACGTGAACTTTCGTGGAGAACAAGAGAGAAGAAATTACACAAAAGACAGAGTTACCTTGGCGCGCCAGAAAACCAAAGGCTCGACAGAGAAACCCAAAGCCCGACTGATACACCTGTTCCTGAAGACGCACCTGAGGACAACCCGTGCCAGTTCCTGAGTAGTAAAGATGAACCTGTAAAGGAGGACGAGAGGAACACATTAGCGTGTACCGTGCTTAGAGAAAAAAAGCCCAAGAACCTGAGCAGGAAACCGAACAAATCCAATTGAAACCTGGTGTTCTCGCAGACCAAAAGGAAGAAGAAAAGCCGAAGTGTTCTGAAACCTGTAAACGTCTTCCAAAATGAAGTGCCCAAAGAAGAAGTATATTGAAACCATTCCAAAAGAGAAAACAGTAGAGAAAACATGTGGAAAAACAAGACACGAATTACGCAAAAGTTTCGGAAGAATTGTAGAAAAAAATTAAAAACCCAAACGAAAAAAAAACTAAAGATGATAAAGAGCAATTTGAAAATGAGAAGCTACAAAGAAGTAGTATAGTGAATAGAGGAAGTGGTTAAAAACCTGTACCATCTGAAACGGTAAATAAGCCTGAAAAAACACCAGAAACTAGTAATATTAAAGCCCGCTAGAAAAAGATATTAAGCCCAGTAAGAGAAAACAAAAACTACTCTTAACCCGTAGAGAAGAAAGATACAAAAACCAGAAGAGAACTTGTCGTGAAAACGAGAAGAAGAGGAGAACAAAAGACAGAGTTACCTTGGCGGCGAGAAACAAAGGCTCGACAGAGAAAAAACAAGCCCGACTGATAACACCTGTTCCTGAAGACGCACCTGAGATCAACCCGTGCCAGTTCCTAGGAGTAAAGATGACCGAAGGAGGACGAAGAGGAAACATTAGCGTGTTACCGTGGCTTAGAGGAAAGAAGCTCAAAAACCTGAGCAGGAAACCGAACAAAATCCAATTGAAAAAAAAAAAAAAAAAACCTGGTGTGCGTCCAGACCAAAAGAAGAAAAGAAAAGCCCGAAGTGTTCTGAAACCTTTGTTTCTTCCGAAACTTTGTGCAACAATTGTGTGTCTGTTTCTTCTTCGTATATGTCTTCTGTTGTTATCTCTTTTTTGAATGGCTTCAATATTATTTCTTCTTTCGGCACTTCATCTTTGGGAAGGCGTTTTACAGGTTTCAGTACGACTTCGGGCTTTTCTTCTTCTTCTTTTGGTCTGCGTGCACCAGGTTTCAACTGAATCTCTTCGGTTTGCTGATCAGGTTTCTTGGGCTTCTTTCCTCTAAGCCACGGTACACGACTAATGTGTTCCTCTTCGTCCTTTACAGGTTCATCCTTTACTACATCCGGAACTGGCACGGGTTGTGCCTCATGTGCGTCTTCAGGAACAGGTCTATCAGGGGCTTTGGATTTTTCAGTCGGAGCCTTTGGTTTTCTGCGCCGCCAAGGTAACTCTGTCTTTTGTGTAACTTCAACCTCTTCTTGTTCTTCCACGACAAGTTCTCCTTCTGGTTTTGTATCTTTCTTCTCTAAGGGTTTAAGAGTAGTTTTTGTTTCCTCTTTTACCTGGGGCTTAATATCTTTTTCTACGGGTTTTAAAATAATAGTTTCTGGTGTTTCTTCAGACTTATCTACAGTTTTTCCTGTAATAGGTTTCAAATGCACCTCGTTAATGTCATCTCTTATCACTTCGTGTGTAGGCTTCTCATATTTAGTTTTGGGTCCTTTATCATCTTTAGGTTTTTTCGTGATTGTCTCTTTAATTTTTTCTATTGTTTCTTCCGAAATTTTGTGCACAAATTGGGTGTCTGTTTCTTCTTCGTATGTGTCTTCTGTTGTCCTCTCTTTTTGGAATGGCTTCAATATCACTTCTTCTTTGGGCACTTCATCTTTGGGAAGGCGCTTCACAGGTTTCAGAACCACTTCGGGCTTTTCTTCTTCTTCCTTTGGTCGACGAAAACCAGGTTTCAATTGGATTTGTTCGGTTTCCTGCTCAGGTTTCTTGGGCTTCTTTCCTCTAAGCCACGGTACACTGCTAATGTGTTCCTCTTCGTCCTCCTTTACCGGTTCATCCTTTACTACCTCAGGAACTGGCACCGGTTGTGCCTCAGGTGCGTCTTCAGGAACAGGTGTGTCAGTTGGGGCTTTGGGTTTCTCTGTCGGAGCCTTTGGTTTTCTGCGCAGCCAAGGCAACTCTGTCTTTTGTGTCATTTCTTCCTCCTCTTGATCTTCCACATGTTCACCTTCTGGTTTTGAATCTTTCTTCTCTAAGGGTTTAAGATTAGTTTTTATTTGTTCTTTTGTTTGAAGCTTAATATCTTTTTGTATGGGTTTTAATATTACGGTTTCTGGTTTCTCTTCCGGCTTATCTACAGTTTTTGCTGGTATAGGTTTCAAATGCACTTCGCCAATTTCATCTCTTATCACGTCGTCTGTTGACGTTTGATATTTCGTGTTGGGTCCTTTATCATCTTTAGGTTTTTTCGAGGTTGGACGTTTTACTCTTTCTTCGCTCTCTTCCGAAACTTTGTGCAATAGTATCGTGTCTGTATTTTCCTCGTATGTGTCATCAATTGGTCTCTCTTTTTGGAATGGCTTCAATATCACTTCTTCTTTGGGCACTTCATCTTTGGGAAGGCGTTTCACAGGTTTCAGAACGACTTCAGGTGTTTCTTCTTCTTCCTTTGGTCGACGAGCACCAGGTTTCAACTGAATCTCTTCGGTTTGCTGTTCAGGTTTCTTGGGCTTCTTTCCTCTAAGCCACGGTACACGGCTAATGTGTTCCTCTTCGTCCTCCTTTACCGGTTCATCCTTTACTACCTCAGGAACTGGCACGGGTTGAGCCTCAGGTGCGTCTTCAGGAGCAGGTCTGTCAGTCGGGGCTTTGGGTTTCTCTGTCGGAGCCTTTGGTTTTCTTCGCTGCCATGGTAACTCTGTCTTGTGTCCTCTTTCCTCCTCTTCTGTTTTGGGTATGGGTTCATTTTCTGGTTTTGTATCCTTTTCTATTGGCTTTAGAATAATTTGTGATTTTTCATCGGCCCGTGGTTTTATCTTCCCTTCTACCGGTTTTAATTTCGGTATTTCTATTTCGTCTTCTGGAACGGTTGCTGTTTTCTTTGGTATTGGTTTCAAATGCACGTGTTCAATTTCACCCGTTTTCTCTTCCATGGTAGGGGTTTCAAATAGAGATTTAGGACCTTTATCGTCTGTGGTCTTCTTAATTACAGACAATTTATCTTTATCGTCGAGATCGATTTCATCAATTGGCTTTCGCTTTATCGTTGCTTCAGGCTTATCTCTCTCTTTCTTTACCTCTTTATTGTCAATTTTGAAAGGTTTTAATGAAACTTCCTCCTTCGGTGATTCATCTTTCGGAAGATGTTTTACAGGTTTAAGACCTAATTCGGATTTTTCCTCTTCTCCTGTTGGTTTACGAGCTCCAGGTTTTAATTTTATCTGTTCCGTTTCTTGTTCAGGTTTTTTGGGTTTCTTTCCTCTAAGCCAGGGCACACTATTAATATGTTGCTCATCGTCGCTTGGAGCATCTTTTGCTTTTTCAGGAACAGTCTCTGGTTGTAAATTGTCTTTAGTAACCGGCATCTCAGTCGGTGCCTGAATTTGGTCAGTTTGCTGCATTGGTTTTCTACGGTGCCAAGGTAAATCAGATTTCTGGGGTGCTTGCTCTTTTGTTTCTATCTTAGGAACCCCTTCTGTTTCCGGTTTTGCTATATTGTCGATCGGTTTGAGGATAATATTCACTTTCTCTTTTTCCCGCAAATCTGTGTCCTTCAGGACTGGTTTCAAATTAACAATTTCTTTTTGGTCCCTTTGAATTTCCCTTCCTGAAGGTTTTACTGGCTTTAAATGTACTTCTACTTTTTCGTCAGTTGGTTGGTCTTTGCTGCGTCTGCCAGGCACCGTTTGGGAGGCTTTCTTGTCTTTGGGCAGTTTCTCTTTAAGTGTTATTTGTGTTTCGTCAGGCTTTGATTCTTCAGTTGACTCCTTATCCATTGTTGTGTCTGGCGTCTCTCCAGCTTTCTCTTTTTCCTTTATATCCTTCTGGAATGGTTTCAAAGTAACTTCCTCCGTTGATTCATTTTCTTTTGGAAGACGTTTCACAGGTTTCAGAAAAACCTCGGGTCTCTCTTCTTTTTCTTGCGGCCTACGAGCACCAGACTTTAAATATATTTGTTCTTTTTCTTGTTCTGGAATTTTAGGCTTCTTTTCTCGTAACCACGGTAATCGGCTTGTACGCTGTTCTTCTTCTTCGCTTACTAAATCTTCGTCTTTAACTATGTCTGTCACTAGTTCTTGATTCAATGGTAGTTCGCCTGTACTTTTTTGTGTATCTTTTTGAATTATGTCTGTAGAAAGCTTCTTTTTTTGTGCTATTTGGTCAGTCCATGTTTTCTGTTTAATAACTTTTCCTACGGTTTTTTCATGATCCTCAAAAGTACGGATTGAGGAACGGTCTTTTGCTTTCCTCCAAGGCGCCACAGGCAATGTAGATTTTTGCTTTCTCCAGGGTAACGTCATATCACTAGCAGTGAGTTGAACTTGGTTTGAATCGCCTATTTGTTCTTGTACTTGTCTTGTGAGAGAAAGATTCACTTTGTCTAATTGATTTGAAAAATCAGTGGCCTCTTTTCTGTGAGTGATGTCATCATCATATGTTTCATCAGGAACTAGTGGACCATACGCCAATCCTTTTCCTCCTGAAAGTTTAGACACACAAGACTAACAACAAATATTCAACCAGAAGGAATATCATAAACAGAGATAATATTCCCATACACGTGATAACCTCTGGTATAGTTAATTAGCATTTATAAAATAAGTTTTGATGGTTAATTACATAACAGGAATGGAATAAATTGCAAAAAATGTTTTGGACAAGTTTCATATATACAATTTCAATACTTCTTCTGCACAATGGGATACCGTAAAATGAAGAAATTACTTTTTTATTTTAAGTTTATAAGTTCATAACATATCGCTAATGATCCTATCATAAAATATTGGAAAATAATGAAATTGAAGATGAATTGATACGTGTTCGTGATTATAGGATATTATAAATTCTCTACATACACAAATCTGAAAATTAGAACAGAATATGTTGTTTTAACAGGTTGGGACCTAGAACTAGAAGATAAGGTGTTTGGGTATCATCAAGAGAAAGTAAAAGTCAATGGAATGTCAAGAGGTTCAAGCCTCGAGCAAACAGGAATAGAAATGACTTTTCCTTACAGGCTAAAAACTTGAAACTTTCATGTGCAGTTTTTCTATTCTTACTCCTCTGCCCTGTGAATAGTTAAATTTTCAAAGACAATAAAGCAAAAAATTGGTCAAAATAAGTCAAAAAATATCTTGGTCATTACAGGCGATAATAATAATAATAATAATAATAATAATAATAATAATAATAATAATAATAATAATAATAATAACAACAATTTAGTAATACATAAATATGAAAATAATATATTGCATAAATGCTAAGCCCTGTCTTGGCGAAGATAGACTGAAATACAGAAAAGCAATTGGTAGCCTAGATTAAAAATATATTACTATATTGTTTTGAAGAAAGATTGTGAAAATATTTATTTCCAAAAGTCAGAAAGTTAAAAAATTTTGTAGTCATATTATGAGAGATACAATAAATTATGTTCAATTCTGTTATGCTACTTATACATGCAAAAACAAAAAATAACATAATTTCATGTTCTCATAAAAATAATTCAGTCAAGGATCAAAATCATTTTAAACAAGTAATATGCTATATTATGTTTGCAGTAATATGGTTCACAAATTGCTAGAGACAGATACAACTGCTGCTCTGCATTTCTAACAATAAGTTAACTCACTCCAAACTTGTTGCAGATGAGTTAACGTAACACTATTTAGGTATGTTTACATCATACAATTTAATAATAAATAGGAAAAACTATCTTTCAACATGTAGAAGCAAACTTATCATCATTATTATTTTACTGTTGCTTTACGAATTTAATTTTTTTTCTCTAGATTACCTACATTAAGTCTTAAGTATTATTACATATTGAAAATATAATTATTGAATAAATATAACAACATATTGTTATTGCAATATTGGCTGAATAATACATATTACATTTTATTTTACGACTTATGTTTTGTACTGTTTTTTATTTTATTCTTTTTTAAATATCACAATTAACAGTAGTAGATGTGAAAATACAACGGTTAAACCTGTCTTCATCGGTCCAATGATTACAGCAGAAAATGGCCGTTTTTTAGGGGTGGACGCTTAATCGAAGTTAAGGAGATACTGGGAGCGTACATCAAATCTATTTGGGCTAATTTAAATGAAATAAAGTATGTTCTCTTTAATATTTTTAATTGCAATAAATTAAAAAATATAAATTAAAATAGTACTTAGGATCATTTGCTTCCCATCAAAACAAACACTTCACTTGTCGTGCATTCTCTAAGTTGAGAAACTAATTTTCCTTCTTAAATAAATTAAACTTAATTACGCAAACTAGGTTTGAAGATGCAATTCACCTCCGTCAGAAATACAGATGTTTCTCATTTCTGAAATAATATTAACAACACACTAAACAGAACTCTTTCTACTTCAAGCAAGGCGCGCGCTGGGTCGGAACGGCACGGACGGACGGGATGGGACGCACGGCGGTTGTCGAGTGGGTCGCGCGCTTCAGGACGGGACACCGTGGACGGCACGGCCACTCCGCGCACTCTCTCTCAGGCACTTCGCTCCGAGTCTTGCGTTGTGCGCGACGGCTTCGTCATTCAAGTCCAGAAGCGACCGCATTGGGTTCATTTTTAATAGCAGAAGGAAATTAGACAAGGAGTCGAAGAAAGTCCAAACGCTCTTCTCTTGTAAACAGAACGATAATAACAAAAGGAGAATTTCTCATATTATATCCATACTTGGTGGAAGATGAAAAGTTATTTCCGTTTTCAGGATGTCGCACGATAAATTTGAAGCTAAATTGGATATTTTCAAAAATATAAGATGTAAATAAATATGTTGGTAACACAATTAAATTGAACTAATTACATTACTTTAGAAACTTACGACAATAATCGCTACTATAATTTACGTAAAACACAGACAAAAAATTATATTGCTTAATGAACTAATAAATCATTCCAAAACTGAAAAGTTTCACCAATATCCAATATTGTACAGCTTCTTAGAAATGCCTAGTCATTTAAACTTTGCAAATGTTACTCCCTGATTCAGATAGTTTATCTAAATAATTAAATTACACTACCTAACAAGGTATAATACATAAAACTTAATATCACGCTGTACAACTCGGGATAATTCTAGAATCAACATAATTAAATTTGACGTATTCATGATCGCTCCGCACACTTCATTTAACCTCAACTGAAACGGCGCAAGGGCCGTTCCGCCCTAGCCGATGACGTCATCGACACGTCGCAATGTCCAGCAGATGGTTCCTTCGGACTTTCTGCAAACGGCGGAAGGTGGAGATTGTGCCGGCCTAGTGCGCGCCCCTTTACAGAAATCAAAGTACTCTGTAGTAACGGTGTCTTCTATTCCGAAATAATTCGGGAATAATTGAAGATCTTATTTCCAAAGTGACGTATGTCCATGAAACTTTTTTCAGGAAGGGAAATTATTCACATTCAGAAAGTATTATAGTTCAAGACAGAATTCAAAGATTTTGGATATCGTTTAACATAGGAGAAATACATTTTTTAACACAATGACTATAATAGAGATATGGTATATGGTTATAGGATGCAAAAGCGTCTTGATACGCGAAACTAGATTACAAACGGAAATGGAGATACGTCGCTTCCCGAAATAGCTCTTCACTTGTGGGTAGTATTCAGTGGGTGTAGGCACTTTCATGAGAAGAAGCAGTTCATTAAGGACGGTAGAGCAACAGCCTTGAGGGCGGCCAGAATCAAAATTCCTGATAGGTAAAAACTGGATACGCAAATTTGTGAAGCTTCACAAGAGCAATAATTATACATAGACTGTCCATTGCAAACATATGATCTTCTTACCTTTTGGCGTCGTTCGGGATTGCTCACATTGAAGCGCAATTGGATCAACGACTTAGCGGAAAGGTGGCGAATTTCCACCAAAATTGGACCCCCACGTACTTTTATGCATAAGAGCTTTTGGATCCTACAACTTAATTCTAATATTTGCGGATGCTCTAACGGATTGCAAGTAAATTTTCAGTGAATAGCAGTCGTTTTAATGAGCAGAATTAATGTTAAAATGTTTGAGCAGTGTCTTACTATTTTTGCGCTAATATCGTGAAGCCATTGCGAGCAGAGGGAGTAATTGCTCCATGTTTTATTCTACATGTTACACTATACTTCATTAGCTTCCGAATAGCCATAGTAAGACTAATGTTGTGCTTCTAGTAGTTGTGAGGATATATCTCTTTTTTAGAAGAATAATAAAAAATATTGGTCGTTCAAAAGAACATAATTTCAGACGTTATTTGTTTTGTTTTTTTAATTTTTGAAAATTCTGAGGTCAACGAAAATGATATTTGCACTTTGTTTTAAGAGTCCTTTGATTTATCCGAGAAAAATTTAAAGAATTTACTTATTTTGTTACAAATTAGACACCGGGAATAATTCTCGCTTTTGCAGTTATCCCCTATTAAATAAACTCGAAGAGATCCATAAAATTTGTTCTGAATTAATAAATCAATAATATCACCTAGCGAGTTTTAGAAGTTAAACACAATAATATCACATCGATTTCTAGGGACGTTCTCTCGGTGAGAAATAATCTATTTCAGTACAACCGAAAGAACAATGTTGCAAAACCATTCCCTGGCGTCTTTCCTAAAACTTTTTCTGAATTAAACATTTCTAATGGTTATTTTTCTTTAAAATCAATATTACTAAAATAATTTCTTATAGAACAAATTTATGAAAAAAATATTTCCCCTAATGGAAATTTCCTAATCTATATTTTCTTAAGCATTAGTTTTCTTAAAGGAAATTAAGATGCCCATTAATAAAGATTTTACACTTTGATATTTTACACTTGGAGATTGTGACCAATGCCTTGCAAATAGTTCAATGTTCTTCCTTCCTCTCGATATTTTGCATTTTTGAGTAGCAATGATTCTTCTGGCATGCAAAATATGTCATTTTCGGTTGATCTTTTACCGTTTGTCGAATTGAAAATTCATTAATGGATATATCCTTGCTCCTCCCTCCTTGTTTTGGACCTCTGTCAAAACTACATAAAAGTTGAAATGGTGCTTACCTACTATGATTTCAAATCTGTTGAGAAATCCTTTGGAAATATTGTTTGTTCTGTACAAATTCTGGACTGTTGCCTTATTACAATTACTTGGCTTTATGCAAAATTCCAATTGCAAAACACGGACTGGATTATACATATTACTGCGATATCACGCTTCTAATACTAAGTGGTATGACTGGGACAATACTTGGTGTTTTATTTTCGCTATATCATATATGTTCCAGTTTTCTGATCGTCTTAGATGTACGTAGTGTGATGTGATGTGCTGCGGTGATTCAGATTGTTTACAACCACACACGTTGTTGTTCATACTTGGTTGTTAAAATATAAATTTTTGATAATTGCATGTTGGTATTACTTCATCTCCCACGGTAATAATAAATCCTACTGTTTCAGTGAAGAGCAGTCTGAAGAGAAACCAACGCTTCTCTGCTGACATGCGCTCGATGTCGTCTGGGCCTGCTATGAATGGATTTTGTTATCCACGCATGGGGAAGCTGAGTGGAGTAAGTCTATTATTATTATTATTATTATTATTATTATTATTATTATTATTATTGTTATTATTATTATTATCATCATCGATTTTATTATATTCTATCGGCTGCAATAGCGTATATAGGTGCAAATTCGTAGGAGGGTCTTAGGTGTGAGTGCCGACCGTAGCATAATTTCGAGCCCAGCTAAACAGTTGTTTCGAAAGCAGCCAATATCTGGAGAAGAATTCAAGCGGTCGGCTGCTCTGGACGGTCGTTTCTAAGCTTTCCTCCGATCAACTCCAGGAGTATGCCGTAGCACTACCCTAGTCCACGCGTCACAGACCGCGCGCAGTCCTTTACCCACCTAGTCCAGTCGGTAGGTACTGAAAAGAGGAGTTACCTGGAAGACGGTAATAAACAGGTTTTCTTTTAGTATGTTCCCAGGCTCTAGTTAAAAATCCAAGTATTCGACTTCCCAGCCCCAGTGCCAACTCCGGGAGACTCGAAAAACTATATAAATCTCTACTCCTATGTTCTACGGAAAAATGATTAAATCGAATTTTAAAGATAATTAAACTTACACCTATTGTATAAAACTTTTTTTCTAAATCAATTACCTAGCGAGCTACTGCTTTTCAAAAAAGCAGTATTTTTTCATTTCTCTAAAATGTGTGCAGAAATACACATGTTTGTGATATTATACACAACCTATAATTCAAATACATTCAAACCCAAGAAAGGTGTAAGACAAGGCTACGTAATCTCTTCTATCTTATTTAACATTACAGTGAACAAGTACTGAAAAAAAACTTGGGCAATTGGAACAACGGTGTAATAATTGGCGGTGTAAGGATCTTACGATTTGCTGATGATACCATACTAGGCGCAGATTCGGAGGAAGAAACGATTAGAGAAGACCAGCAACAAATACGGATTGACTATTAATAAGGCCAAAACTAAAGTGATAAGGATCACAAACACCGTTTTATAAAGTTGTAGCTTGCTTGGCAATTGGTTTTAAAACAATTACTGTTTTTTCGAGCCTACTGGAGTGAGCACAGGGTCTGGAAGGTCGAAAATGTGGAGTTTTAACTAGTGCCTAGATACATACAACATACTTAAAGAAAAAAATGACCTTTTTGCAAGGTAAAATGTACCTACAGATAGGATTATCGTAGGTCAGATCGTGGGGCCAAGTCTAAAAACAAAAATATGGCAATGTGGTATATGTGGTTCTACAACAGCACACCCATTCTCGCATTATTTCTAAGTACTCCACTATATTATACTACTACATAAGCATGGAAAAGTGTTTTCAAACAGCGATATTTTTTTCAGCTCTGAGACTCGAACTCTCATCATCCATGTTAACTCGCTGTTAGCCATAGCACTTCGTTACAGACGCACTGCACCCAATTTTTGCAATTTACGATAATACTGAGTTGGCTGAAAATGGGACTAGCACATTATTATTTACCGTTCATTGTGACATATGAGGAGAAAATTTAATGAAATCTTTTGGTGGTTTGGGAGAAATATTTTTTTAGAAATTGCACGACTTTCAGACCCTAATTACGTGAAATCTATTCGTGTTTTTTAAAAAATTTACATGTCGTCTTTGAAAGAGCTGATTTTTTTACAACTGACTTACTATAAGACAAAATTCTCTATCTTCAATTCTGTAGTTTTGAAATATTAATTTTTTGAAATTTCCCCCCTCCAAAAAAAAAAAAGAAAAGAAAGTTGGCCGTAAATGGGACTAGCACCGTATTTTTATCGTTCCTTGACAGATACAAGGAGAAAATTGAAAGAAAAATGTTAAGTATTTGTTTAGAAAAAAGTTTTCAAAATTACACGAAAACTTTAATATTTTCCAAAAATTGAACATCGAGCCCTGGAAACGAAAAAAATTGATACATTTGGTTTCTGCATATTGGAAATTACTTTTTGTGTTTTCACTTAGTTCTTACTACTTGCTACTACATTTTGTTTTCACTTAATTAACGCTGTGTCGTCAAAATCCGTTTTTGTAGGTACTTGAAACTGAAAAATCGATTGACGGCAAAACGTCTGTCTGTGCGTCTGTTTTTCTGTCCGACTGTCCGTCTGACCGTCCGTCTGTAGTCAACGCTAGTTGTCCACGATTTAAAATGAACTAGAGGCCCTCTGAGTTTCAAACAGATATTTTGATTTTTGAGAGTACTTTACTTGAAACCTAAACAATATTTTCAAAATTTTCTCAAAAAGGGATCCGAATTCTTTGATTAAACTTTGTTCTCAAATAGTGTAAAGGATGTTTAATAAATTGGGGCAGGTTTCGTTTTCGTTAAACTTCCTGATTTTTCGAAAAATGCAAAACTTCAATTTTTTCGTATCTTCTTACAACACTTACTACACTTTTGAAGATAAGATATTTTTCCCTGAATATAATATTTGCTTTAAAGACAGACCTTGAAATGAGGTCAAGTATAATCTTTCGAGATTATAAGTATTTTATGTGTAATATTTCGAAAATATAGGAACTTTTTAAACAATTATACTGGTGTTTGGGAAAATTGCAACACAGAGGAGGAATGGTCGGATTCACTTCAAAATCGGAAGATGTGTAGAACTGGGAATCCATAAGAAGTGATTAAAGAAGTGCATAGAGATGGCGTGCACGTTGGCCTAGCAACGCCGTCCTTCGTGTGGCAGGTCAGGGTAGTGTTACGCCTCACTCAGTCAGTGTAGAGCCGTTAAACGACGTGGAAGCAAGCAAGTGCCGGTTGCCACGTCACGCCAAAGAGCGCAATATCATCATCTGAGGAAGTCGAACGGGACAGAATGATCGGTCTCCGGGGAGCGGGTTTATTATACCGTGACATTGCGGGCCGAACGGGGCCGCAACGGGACAGTGATGCGTGTGTGGAACCAGCGGATAGAGGAGGGTCGTACACAGCGACGAGCGGGTACAGGACCACGCAATGTGACCCCAGCGTGAGATGAAAGCCATCTTGTCCGCATGGCCGTTACTGACAGAACGGCCTATAGTTGCGGCCTATAGTTGCGGCCTATAGTTGATATGAGCCTATAGTTGTGGCTCGACTTTGGAGGTGTGGCCGTGTCTGCGTCGACGGTTGGACGCCGTCTGTTGAGGGCTGGAATGATGGCACGCATACCACTGCGGCGGATTCCTTTGTCCAGAAACCACCAACGCCTGAGACAGCATTGGGAACGTGAACATCTTCACTGGTGTGCTGAGAGGTAAAATCGAGTGTTTTCAGATGAGTCTCGCTTCAATTTGTGCTACAGCGATGGCCGCGTACGTGTTCGACACTACTGTGGCAAGTACAATCAGCCAGCCTTCATTTTTTCGTGCCATAGCGGACAAATGCCAAGTTTGATGGTTTCAGGCGCCATTGGCTATAATGTGCTATCTCGTCTCGTATGTATTGAGGTGAATCTAAACAGCAACCGATGCATCAGGGAGGTTTTAGAGCCCGAGGTACTGCCACTCCTGTAAGCAGCTCCACGTATCATATTTCAACAGGGCAATGGCCCACCGCATGAGGCGAGGAACGTGCAAGCTTCCTGCAAAGAACGATGGGTACCAGTGCTTCCCTGGCCTGCACACCCGCCTGACATGTCACCCTCGAACATGTTTGGGAAATGATCGGGCGGCAACTTATTCGTTCTGGTCCTGCTGCAGCCACTGGTGGATGCTTGTGGTCACGCATTGAACCGCGTGGCAGTGTGTTCCCCAGTAGCATATTTAGGTTCTCTTTGAATCCACGCCACGACGACTAGAGGCTCTGATGACAACTCGTGGCGATTTCACACTTGTCTAAATACTCAAGGTCAAAATGCGTGTACAGTTTTGAAATTCTAATCATTTGAACATTGTGATATTCCTAATCTGTGAAATAATTTCATTATTTGAGTATGTCTCCGTCTTGGTGTTGCAATTTTCACAAACAGCAGTGTTTTTTTGAAAGAAACCGCTCCAATTTTTTTCTTTAAATAATCTCCCTGTAAGCGGGATTGATCTTATTTTCGGCAAACTTTCTTTTTGTTTCCCAAAATTCCACAAAGTTAAAATTGTGAAAGAACAATATTGAAAAATACATTTTTCTCTGAAAGGAAATGTGTTCTAAAAACATTAATTTTTTTTTTTGTTTCAAAAACGATTATCTTTCGCGTAACTTCTCCTTGAAGTTAATGAAATTTATTAAAAAAAATTCTTTTAAACGGATCTATTTTTTCACGCATAGAGCAAAGAACTTTTAAAAACTGGCGATGGTCTAATTTTCCTTGAACTCTCTGAGTTTTCGACAATTGCATATTGAAAATAATGGGAGAGATTGTTGATTTTGAAGCGTCGAAACTGAGTTTGTCTGAGTGACTGCGCAATGCAGCGGTAAAGCGCACGGCAAGTTGTCTGGATCGCCCTGAGTTCGAATTTCAGGGCGTAGAAAAATCTATGCAGGTTGGAAGTAATTTTGAAGGTTCGTTCACAAGTGTAATATTGTGGAGTGTTGTAAATAATGCGAGAAAGGATGTGCTGTTGTAGAACCACTTGGTCTGTCGAAAAATCGCGATTTCCGGCGTTCTATTACAATAGTTGACACCGTTTATAGTGAACTATAAGCAAAAAATATTCGGTTAAAATGAACCTGAACCTCAGCTACAAAAATCGTAGGAAATACGACCTGGAAATGAATTCCCTCCTGGAAAATAATATATCACTTGAATGTCTTTAAACTCTTACACTAGGGAGCTTGGAAATAATATCGTCGGCCGAAGGTCATAATCAAAGAAGTCTCCCCTGAGGTGAAGGAAGCGGACCTGGAGTGGGGACCTCACTGATGACCTTATGACTCTCAGTTTCACTGCGGAAACAAAGGCCGTGTCCTAAATGAGCGACATCTGGCGGCAGCGACGCACGATTGCTCGCTTCAGTTCCAAGCTTAGTGTTCTATTCCGCGGGACACAGCGCGTTGTGTTCTACGAAGGTGACGGGAAGTGCGCGACTGCCACAGCCTGGCGAC